CTCTCTTTATGGCTGTCAAATTGATTTCACCACTGTGATACCTATGGCTCCCAATGAAACTTAATTAAAAATACCATTTAATCACAAAGTAACAAAGGCAACGTGGATAAATGGCATTACCACTTCAGCACATTTTAATCCACATGGCTTCTCTCCCCATCTGAATCTACTTGGATGAGAACCGCCTTTTAAAATCAGAATCCCCTTGTCTTCTCTGCACTTGCCTCTGACAGATCTCCAAAATAAACAGTGTTTAGGATGGCTGGGATCCAAATGCATGCAGTTTGCCCAGTGGTAAAAACAGCCTTAACTAGAGCGAGGGGTGCGAGGGGGGAGGGAGTCACATTCAAGACTACTTCCCTTGGAAACACATGAGAACCTCAGACTGAATGTGATGTAGCCCTGACACGGGGCTGAGAGAATCTCATTTCTAGCAACCCTCTGTTCTGTTTGTGATGGGTTTAGCCACTTGTTACTAAAATTGTGTCACAAGCCATGCTGTGACCCTGCTCTTCTCTGTCTAGAAAACCTTCCTGAACTGGAAGTGACCAGTGGCAACAGGACAGTCAGTGACTGGAGGGGACGCTGCACAGGGGAGGAGCAGGCGGCCGCATAGCACAAAAGGGGAGGGGCGTGGGGCACATCTTCTTCAGCCCCAGATTTCTCCTGAGGTGGGCAGTTCCCAGCTAGAATGCCAAATCCCTTGATGGAGCCATCTGGTCTCTATGAAGCTCTTATGATTCCTTAGATGAGCTCAAGGGGCCATCTAACAGCACAGCAGCACCTCATTCCAGCAAGCTGCCCACCTCCTGCCTGTACTAATACCTTCACTGTCCTCAGGGCTCCGTCTGCATCCCTCCCACTTCCTGCAGCCAAATAATGGTCCTTCTTCATCTATTTTTAGTATTATCTCCCTGACAACTTTTTAATTACATTTGCTTTGTCAATGTTCCTATCACAACAAAAATGATAATTAAAAAGTTGTCAGAGAGATAATAATAAAAATAGACAAAAGGAAGGACTGTTTTGGCGGCATACACACGGTGTTTGATCACATTCATTACAACACCCACCATGTACCTTTCCCCACTCCCTCCCTGTGATTCTCATTTCCATTAATCCTTCCAGTCTCCCGCTGTACCGCTTTCTGGAATTTAACCTTGGAGAAATGCTGCTTTCAGACTTTATAGTCGGCTACTCTAAGATGTGAGCACCTCCCTGATGTTACTGGTCACCACACAGGCCTGTGTACTGTCTGGCTGAAAAGCCAAGTCTTGGGGGTGAATTTTGTTTCAGGTTTGAAAGGTGACTCTGTGTGTGTGTGTGTGTGTGTGTGTGTGTGAGAGAGAGAGAGAGAGAGAGAGGGGCCCATCAGTCTCTATCAGAACAGTAAACCTAGCATTTTAAATTTTGTTCCACATTCCTCAGCCCCCAGCCCCACTCTCTGCAGGCTCTTCGACCATGATCCCATTAAGAGTGGTCAGCGGTGGAAGCTGGGCATCTGGTTCTCCTGGTCTCAGGGTCATGGAAGCTGAGTCTGTGTGGCCTTTTAGTCCTCTGGACTAATTGTTTCTTTCCAGCACATCTTTGCTGTCTTCTTCTTCATTCCAGATGGGGAGAGAACAATAGTCACACCCTAGATAGAAATTTGAAAATGACAAGGCACTTCTCCTTCCTTGGGCACCTGATTCTAAGTGTTTTCCCACCATTTGGGCTTTGTACCCGTTTGGGAAAGTCAGCTGTCAGGAACCTCTTCAGAGTACTGAGGAGCAATGATGTCAGGCTGGAGACTGAGGGGTGCCTGATCAGGGCCATAGTCTTCACAATTGCGTGCTATGTGTCAAAGAGCTGGACAGTGGCTAGGGATGATAGAAAGAGAATTGATGCCTTTGAGCTGTGGTGCTGGAGAAGAGAGTTGAGTATACCATGGACTGCTAGGAGAACATACAGGTTTGTCCTGGAGAAGATAAAACTGGGCTGCTCCTTGGAGGCAAGGATTCTAAAGCTTCATCTGACATACTTTGGGCATATTGCAAGGAGGAACCAGTCCTTGGAGAGGGACAACATGTTTGGAAGTGTAAGGGACAGCACAGGAGAGGAAGACTCTCAATGAGATGGACCCATTCAGTGACTGGGGTAGTGGGAGTAGGTGTGTCGGAGACAGTGAGGTTGGCACAGGATAGAGCAGGGTTTAGGGCTCTTTTATAGTGTCGCTGTGAGTCTCAAGCAACTCAATGGCACGTAACAACAACAACAACTACCACCACCTGTTCCACTGTGCCTGAAAAGCCTTTCTCTGTCCCCCAAGGACTCTGGTGATGTAGTAGTTTGAACCACAGCTTCTCCACACAGAAAAGCTTCTGTTGAGAGTTTCAGAAATCTTATGAAGCAGTTCTATCCTGTTCTATGTGGTTGCCACAGCCAGAAACAACGGCACACACGGACTCCCTTTCCTGGCCTGTTAATCAACGCTGTCCTTCATCAGTTAGGCTCCCTCCATGCAGTTTCTGCCCTTCCTAACATTAATGCTGATCTGCAATGACCTCATTTGTTCGCATCTCCACCACTGGGAAAGCTCTGTTTTGGTCATACCACATCCCCCAAGCCTGGCACGAGAGATGGTTCTCTGGCAGAGATTGGCCCTGGCATCAACGATCTGCCCTGGCATCTCCAGGCTGCGAGAGCCATTTAAGCAAACTTTATGTGGGGGAGGAAAGGAAAGGAGCCAGAAGGATGTTAATGGAAAGGAATCTCTGAAATTGACTTTTTTCACCATGGCTGGGACCAGACAGTAGTAGGTCAAGTCCAACAGGAAAACAGGTGGGATCCTGCCTACAGATGCTCCCATTCCATCATCCAAATAGTGCTGGGAAGTTTGGGAACTTCTAGACTTCTCAGGAAAGCCCTTTATGAGTTCACAGGGGAAAACAGGCCTCCTTTGGCCCAGTATGAAATGAGTGTCTTGTCAGTGTCCCTACATTCTCAATGGCCCTTCAAGAAGGTTCTCCTCTCAGATGTGCTTAAGGCCATGTCTCCTCCAAGTGCTGTAGGCCATCCCAAAGAGTACAAGAAAAGAGCATCTGAGCCTCTGTTTCATCTCTCTTCCTTTTAATTTTTTTATTCTTTATTTTATAGCATACCATATTAGCCCAAGTAGTTAAAAGCTCTTCAGCTTCCCAACTACAGTGGGCAACTCATACGAGAGAAGGCAATAGGTTTGCCAGAGAAGCTAACGACACTAGCAGTTTGTGGGGACACCACAGGGCAGGTGTGAGATCAGAAAGGACACTAGGAGTCCCATCTGGCACAGGCATCAAAGGTCTGCATCCAGGTCAGTTTGCTGATCACCTAATGCTATCACTATGTGTTAGGTATTTACTGATATAACACTTACTGAGTAATGGACTATGCGCCCGAAAGTGTTCTACACCCACAGCTGGATCATGCCACTTAATCCTCATCTTGTGAGATACCCCAGTAACTTCAGGCTCTGTTATAGACAAGAGGAAACTGAGCCATAGGAATGTGCCAAAGGTCACACGGCTACTGAGAGTTTCAACCAGGCGCTCTGGAAGCAGAGTCTAGGTGTGAATCTCTATCCACACTGTCTCTCGAGGCTCCACTGTTGTCAGGATGAGGCAGTGGGATTCCTCAAGCCACAATCCACCCGTCATTACAGGAACGGGGGAGTTAACAGACAAACTGTTCTCTTGAAGCAACATAAATGAGGGAAATTCCCTACAGACAAGATGGCAACTTTATTTTCCCTTTCAACACCTTCTCATTCTTTATTATTATTATTATTATTAATTTTAATGAAAATTTACATAGATTTTAGATTTCCATTCATTCATTGTTGCACTGTTTTCCTTGGCCACTTCTCCCCTCCAGTTCATTCTTCTCTTTGAAAAGTAAAATTCTTTCATTGTACAATCCCTCCCTCCAAGTCCATTTCACTACACAGCCTTCGTTCTGGACTCCTATCATGACAACCTAATCACAAATCCCTTTTAAACAGTTCTCTCTCTCATCTGTTACAATGCAGTATACATTATTTATCCCATCTTTCTCAGTCTCCCCCCAACCCCTATGCCAGTCCCGTTTTTACAACAGTGGTACTATGTAGTATTTGTCCTTTTGTGACCGAGATATTTCATTCAGCATAATGTCCTCCAGGGTCACCAATTTTGAATAGTATTTCATGAATTCTTTATTTTTCAATACTTCCTCAATCCTGTGTGCACAATATAAGACTCATAACTAATTTTTTACTTACTCAGGCTATCTTACCAAAGGAAGCTACTCCTCAATGAGACATTTCTTTTTCAAATCTTTCGCCTTTGTGATTGGTGGCTGAAGGTGATCTCCTGATATCAAAGCTCCCTAAGGCAGCATGGCCCAGTAAGACATTTTTAAATAATGAGAAAATAACTGTTCTTTCTCTGTGCAGTCCAGTCCAGTCGCCACCAGTCACAGGTTCCTATGAAATACTTTGAGTGTAGCTAGTGTGACTAAAAAATGGAATTTTCAATTCAAATTAAATTTTAAATTTAAGTAGTCCCAACGAGTTAGCAGCTACCATAGTGGGAGGCATAGCCTTCACAGAGTGTGGTGAGAATCTGGGGTGACTTGATCCAAATTCCATCTTTCCCCAGATGACTGGATGCAATCCGGGGCCTCAGCCACAGGCTGGAGATTCCTGGGACCTTGGTTAAGGGCTAAATGACTCACGTTAAAAATCCAAGTGAGAATTAGTTTTGTGCATATTTACAGAGAGTGGGAAAAGATTATTCCTATTTAATAGAAAATCAGACTATAACATTGTCTCATTTAAAAACTTTTTAATATTCACAAACTCTATTTCCTGGAACCCAGATTCTACAAATTTAAAAACCAAGAGAATTCAATCTATACAGTCCTTGCTCAAGCCCACAGGAAAGGTGAAAGAGACGAGTCAGAGTTATTTTTTTTCCTCCTCTACCTAAGATGCATGCTGTTTTTTAGGGTTTTGCTCCCAGAAGCTGACCGTTGAGTTCTGAAATGATGTCTGTGAGATCAAACGGCAGAGGCATCGAAGGGTCATCTTCTTCCCAGTATGGATGACATTCTGGTTTCTGATCCACAGATAAAGTTCGGGCAACTCGGGACTGGCACCTGAAAGAGAAAGTATAGGGAATTAATTTATGGGAGGAAATTCCCGGGATGCCCAAACCCATGTGAAACTTAGACACTGGAAAATGCTCTACAAACCACTTTCTGCATGGCTGGCAGTGGTGCCCACGACGGGGGGTGGGGTGGGGAGGAGAAAGAACGAGTCTGGAGCAGCAGAAAAGAAGGGTTTACAAGAAGGAGGAGCTGCTCTTAATGGCCTCAGAGCTTCTTTCATTTCATTTCCCAGGTTGGTATTATCTCGAGTGGCTTCCTAGAAGCCAATCAGCAGGGAAATTCAGTTACTCTGCCTTTCAAATGGTGAATTATTTTTTCATTATCTCAACTGTTATTTAAAGTGTGTGATTAAGCCATTATCAGATTTAAATGTTTGTGGGATTTCAATGTATTACTAGATTACTGGGAAAGATTAAATTGAATTTACAGCATTAAAATGTCCAAGACTAGATTAAACAATATTACAGGCCAGGATTGACTTGAGCGATCCTAGAGATTTACAAGAGTTCCAGCTTGCCGTGTGCCCGAGAAAGACACTCCAAGGGGAGAGCGCTTTATAAGGATATATGCAAATAGAGGTTAATAATCATTTCCGCTGATGAATAGGTGGGGGAAAACTTCCACAAAATTAAATTAAGAGGCTAGCAAGAGTTACTCCCCAAGGAAAACACTTAAATCACAGTTTTTATTAAATGGATTACTCATCAATAGTAGAGAAATTAATTATCATATGCAACTAAATTATGGCCTTGCAGGAAAAAAGTTTGAGCAACAGCTTCACACTTTGGCTCTCTGAGAATCTCTCTGAGAGACCAGCTTATTTAAAATCAGTGTGGAAAAGCTCGGTGGCTTTAGTCTTCTTTCTATGGAAACAATGAGGATCAGAGAGAAAAAGAACATAAACTGTGATACAGAATCTCTTTCCTCTCCTGGAACACACCAAGAGGAAAACTTGTGCAGAAAAGAGAAATGAAGACATTAAGGAAAGTCCCTGACACCCCCACCTGACTTTCTCTAAGTTGATTTAAAAAGTGGTCATACTCAATATTTATCACCTGACTCTGTGCGATTGACTATGAAGGGATGAGAGAGAATCGAAGATTCGGTCCCACTTCCCAGCTTTATGATAGAGAAGGTTCCTAATGAAAAGACGTCTTCTCTAGGGAATTATTAATGGTGAGGGGCTTCCCATGGGAAAACATACTTCAACTTTACACCTATTTTCGAGTGTAGTTAATTGCTATACCGGCATCCCATGCACTCAATCCATCGTACATTACACATAACATTCCAATATATCTTCAGCTCTCTGCATCAGGCCCTGATAATAGCGTCTGTTAACATGCACTAAGTACTATTATGTAGCACATCACTTCATAAATAATAAGATTAGCTGACCTCAGGGCCCCAAGAAGAGTAATGTGTTTAAATGTTCTCATTATTTATTTAAAACAAGAATTAAAGCAAGAGAAGCAGCTTTTGACAATCCTCTTAGCATAAATATTAAACTGTTTGCACTGATAAGCCACGCACTGCACTGACGAACAGAGGGTCCGTTCTGCAGACTACTTAATAATAGGTTTTCGCGACTCTGCCGCTTGCCTGTCGTGGTGCTGAGGGTACATCTCTGTTCTAGAGACAGTCTCGAAATCACATGAAAGGGATGAGGGGGAAATTAATATTCAAGGGGAGCTGCGACTAATTACAAAGGAACTCTGCAAAGCTTTTCAAATCGTGCTTCCTCTCTGCCTCGGAATCAGAAAGTAATGCTCAATTGACGAGGTAGGGAAAGTTATTCCAAATTGAGCATTGCAGTCTCACAGTGGATAAATTATCCGTGCACACATTATCCCGACTGGCAGATTCAAGGGCCCTGCTAAGTGTCGATCCATCTAGCATAGCAAAAGGCCTGTGAAAAGTCAATAGAGATGCTTTTTCACCTGTCAAATGAGTTTTGCCCCCTTACTTTGAGATAGTATTAGAAATATTGAAACCGGCTCTGGAGGTTCATTTATATCATATTATGAAAGCTTTCCAAAGGTGGTGGTTTGTTTTGTTTTAAGCCAAGTTGTTACCTGACTCTGACTTCGTTCCCCTGTTCTTAGCAAAGAGCCTGACAGGCTCCTTTTCACACCGGCTCTGACAGGCCAGGAGCGGTACATTTCTACTAACTGCATCTAGGTGAGGAGCAGACCCTTTCATTGGCTTGCTTCAGGTTTTAATTCAGAGCTTTCTAGACCCTTCAGCTCTTAACGTCCAGCACTCCTTACAAATTTTCAAATGGCAGTGAGGAGGTCTAGTTGTTAGAGGTCACGTGTTTGTCTGAGAGGAGAGCCACTCCCAACTTAAACAATACTGTGATTCAGTCAGGCCAAACTGAGGAGTTGAAAATAAAGGGCTGACCTTTGAAGCCATGGCCTCCTTTGAGTTTTAACTTCTCTTGCCCACATTATTCTTTCTGACTGTCTCCTGTGTTATTTCATTGGACAGGGCGGTAAATCCTATTGTCGTGTGCCCTCAGACCACCGATGCTGTGCTTTGCAAAGGCATGATGTCCTGTTGAACCTCGCTCAGCCTCGGTCTCTCGATTATCAAATGGCGATAATCATAATGCTTTTTCTGGGATGGCTGTGAAGGTTAGTTTAATACACACAGTCTTAAGAAATTGCCTGGCACACACTAAGTGCTAGGGTTCATCATCACTGGCCTGTACTTGCCAGCCACCCTGGTAACAGGTGAGAGGTGTCAATGAGAGCGCTGCCTCGTGCACTTGCGGCAGTCCCCCTCATAGTAAGTGGGTGACCAGCAGCTGGCTCTCTGTAAGGGAAGCTGTGGTGGTATAAGAAGAGCAGCTCTTTCTGCCTCTAATCAAATTTAGCTGGCAGCTGAATCCTATCTATATGTGACATTCTGAGACACTGAAGCTTACACATTCAAGCAGCTACGGCCTTCCGGTCACAGGCCGAAATGTCCAGATTCAGAAAAGACTCAGCCTTTGGTCTTGATAAATGACACCAATGTCTGATTTTCTAAGTGATCAGCATTTAAGATTGAACTGGCAATGTTTCAATTCTTTGCTGTTCTTTAATGTTGCATAGTATTCCACTGTGTCTATCCACTCATCTGTTGAAAGGCACCTAGGTAAAACCACATTAACATGGATGAAACGGCATAAAAGGCTGAGGAAAATGCAAGTTGGATGCAAAATGGACTGGCAGTCTCTATTAACTATGATAAAAAAGCTGGAAAGTGGAAAAGGATGGAGAAGGGAAACCTATTATTAGTTAATGAATACACACTGTATTAAATAATGGAAGGTTAGCATCATATCACTAAAGAACACAAAGACATAATTAAGAGTTCTAGAGAACCACAGAGCAATTGCATACACAGCACTACAGTACGAATAACAAACATTAACTCACAGGTGGATACAGAAGCAGACAGACAAGATGAGTAAATACCAGCAAGTGAAAGAGACCACACCCATGACATGAAGTTCAACATGAGGGTCTATATGTCCTGCAAACATGGCCAGAGCTCCGGTGGCTTAGTGGTAAGGAATTGTGCTGCCAACACAAAGGTATGCAGTTTGAATCCATCAGTTGTTGAATGGGAGAAAGATGGGCAATCTCCTCCCATGCAATTTATTGCCTCTGAAAACCTCCAGGGTCTGCTATGTGGGTAGGTTCTGACTCAATGGTTAGTGTTCAATAATAACAACAATGCAAAAAATGTTCTCAGGCCTTAAAAAGATCTCACAGGATCATGAGAACAGCATTTTAAAATTCAGAAGGGGGCAATAGTAGGAAAGGTGATGATATAGTGTAGGGATTATAATCAATGTCATAAAACAAAGTATATGTGAATGGTTGAATGTAATACCAATTTGCTTTGTTAACTCATATTACAATATAAACTTAAAAAAATACTGAATTCGCATTCACAGGAAGTAAAATTGGATTGTCTCTTAGTACACATACTTCCTTGCAAATGGTGGAGTAATCCAAGGTTTTACACTGCTAATCAAAAGGTTGCGTCTCCAGAAGTTCAAATCCACCAGCAAATGACAGTAAATTCTAGTTCAAATTCTAATTCAAAGGAAGAAAAAAGAGGTAGTTCTTCCCATTAAGATTTATATCCTCAGAAACGTAATGGAGGGCTGCTGAGTTAGAATCGACTTGACAGTAGTGGGCTTTGATTTACGCACTGTCATAAAACCAACACGTCTGTTGTATAGAGAGGACAGTCAGAGTGCTCCTTAGAAGCGAGGAAGGTGAGAATTTGGTCTCACTGACTCTGCACAAATCCCTGGAGGAGGAGGGCATCGTGCTCCCAGCCCTCGAGAAGGAGATCATCCCTGCCAGAGTGGAAGGTCAGTGAAAATGAGGGAGATTCAACAAATTACAAGGATTCTGGCTGCAAAAAGGGGCCTAAAAAGACTTAGTTTTGGAAAGCCTGTGCTGGACTGTGTAACACTCCCTTCTCTTGTACGTACGGTCACTGACACTGAGTGGGAACTGAGGTCAACCTAACAACAACAAGGGGCTGGGTTCTGGGTGATACTTTGTGAATAACTAGACTAGACTTGGGCTTTTTAGTCTCATCGTCCTTCATTGTTGTTTGAATGAAAATTTACTGTCATTTGTAAAGAAAAGAGTCTTGCCTCCTATGCTGCTGGTTTTCTTTTCAAACCAAGAAGTTGCTTCTGTGAGCAAGACTATCTGAGTCTAAAAGTATGGAAGCGTCAGCCTTTGTTTCAAATATTTCCATTTGGTTTAATTTCTATCTAGAAGACCAGGGAGTGCTAGTTGTCATCCAAACTAGCCTTTGCCTGAAAACATGCCAGTTCTAATAACAGAGCTGGATAATCTTTCTGCAGAAAGTTTATAAACTCTCCCAAAGCCAGTGAGTGGTCCCAAGAAAAAGCAGGCCATTCTCGCTTCCTACTGAGTGCAGCTAAATAGTAAAGTTTTGTCTTCCCACTT